ATTAATTTAGTATATTTTCTCGTATGTATATATATATATATACATACATTATGTACATATGTATATATATATATATATGTGTGTGTACACACAAGCATTACGTATATTAACGATATATAATTAACGATAAATCGGTATAATCTGCAGCTCGGGTTTATATTGTGTGCGCGATATATCGAATTTCACATTTAATATGTATCTAAATTTTCACTGAGTTGATAAATGAATTAGCTTTTGGGGGGAACATTTATTTCGTATTAAATTGAGCAATCTCTCAAATATCACATCAAAGGATACCCATTGCGTCTGTGTTAAACGTTAGGAATCGTTGATTGCTTGTCTTTCAATTTATTATAATTTCATCTGTATTATAAGGATAAAAAAAATCAGTTAACTCTAGTAGTTTCAAATTGTAACACGCATTATCTAAATTACAAATTTCTGATTTATATAGAAGATAAATATGAAAGATGTTTTTTTACGCATACAAAAGCTGGAATTAGGTTCATGCAAATTAATCCAAGCTACCGCAAGCGTTTTTCGGCGCCGTTTGGCTGCTGACGCAAATTAGTCGAACTTGATTATAGATTCTCTCCAGGAGAATTAACGAGCGGTAATGTGACTTTATTACTTATTTACGCGTGCGTTCTACTACTGTTTGTGCAAAAACGCGCGAGTTAAATGCTTTTTTCGAGCGTTTTTGGGATGAGATGAAAATCGACGGTGGTCTAGTATATTTCGTAGTTCTCATAAAGTATACACTCGTTATTCAACGGTGCGACTGCGTCGGCCCGATAAACCGATATAATCCGCCATTCTCAGCCGGTGCCGTTGTTTAGTCAACAAAGGGACGCGGAGCGGTGGTGGGCCTCGTCATCATCGCCCGGGGGATTCACAGAACGAGAGAGGGGCCCGCCACCGAAGCCGCATCACCGTCGTTACGGCACTTTTTAACCGTCTCGTCTCTGCAAAAGCACGGATCAAACGCCTTGTGTGCAGAAATTACACGGGCCAAACGGGTGAAACGAGAGGAGACGAGATCGGGAAGGAAAAGGAGGGAAACTGGGGGAGGTAGGTCGCAGAGGGAGGCAGAAATCGATTCGTGATGGGTCGTCGAGCTACGACCTCCTCCGCACCCTCTCCAATTATTCGCCCGCGCGACATTAATTAAGCAAGATAATTTGCTCCCGGACCGCACGCGCTGCCCAATATGGCGTTCATGGCTACGTCGCCGTTTTCGCATTCACATTTTAATGATTCGAATACGCTTGAGGGTCTGCTTTAACTGGAAATATAATTCCAGTCGATGTCAAGAGAGAGGCAGAGAGACTGCGACTAAGTGGAGAGCGTTTATATGTACATTATGCCATCTGTCTGCATAAATATTTTTATGCAGTATCAGAAACATATAGAATGCGAGGAAACACAACTGAAAATAAAAAAGTAAATAGATAAAATAAAAACATAATATCGATGTGCGCAAGATTGAATGAGTAATAAAAAAATTCGCGAAAACGTCCACATTATTAGATTACCGCGAGCTAAAGGGACAAAAAAGAGCGACGGAAAGAGACGATAAAGAAAAAACACAGAGAAAGAGAAACGGTGGCGGCTACTTCGTAACGTACCAGCAGTGGCTCGCTATCGTGTATCGTTTTGTAATTATTACATGCAGCTGCCAAGCCGGTGACGACGGCTGTGAAGTACAGAGTGCACCGGGCAGTCGCGAATGCATTTAGCGTGTTTAATATCGGTGTCGATTTCATTTAGTAATTACAATGAACATCGTAACGATAATGGCGATATTGCGTTTTCCGCGATGCTCTTTGTTTTGCGATTTTGTCTATAATCAGTGAAGTTTTTAATGAACGAAGTGCATACGAATAAAACGAGCTATGCGTGATTGTTGCATTTTTTGCAGATTTGAAATGAGGAAAAAGATTATATTACTGTAAATGAATTTTATATCGTTTGCAGTTTAATTGGTAATTTATTTTTTTAATCTCATTGAAAAGTACAATGGTTTCAAGTAAAGAGATTTGTACACGAGTTTTCATCGCAGCGAAGATGAAAGAAATCAATTTCGTGAAAAATCAGAAATTTATTCGCATTGTCAGTGTTAGAGGAATAATGCAATAAATGCCACAATGGTTTAAAATTATGCGAGAGAATTTCTAGTTTTCCATATGCCTGTGAGCTGACGGATTTAGTTTAACCGTGACACCGACGGCATATCCGATCGTTAATTAGCTTGCGTCTATTATTAATGTGGCATCTCGCGGCAATTATACGTTACTTGCGATCGATTATCCGTGAAATATGAACATCTGCATGAGGGAAATAAATAGAAACACGATTTTCAAATTAATTCTCTCCTTATTACAACAATTATTAGGTGCAATACTCGAGTAATATTTGGACGTGTCACGTTGTTTGCGCAATACATATTACAGGAAATAATTTATTACCACGTTGCTAATCTAAAAATTATTTATATAGTAGCTAGTATAATGACTAGTAGGTATATAACACCGTGACATATGTCATGATGGCACCACGAGATTAAGGAGAGAAATAACATTGTAGCGCGTATTTATACTGTAACGTGCAGTTAGCCACGCGCAAACATATATTCATGAAGCGTTCGTTACGAAACGACCGTTTTAGTCAATCCCTTAAACCTCGATTTAATACCTAAATCTCTCCGCTACGTAGGGAAGGCACAGCGCGTGCAAGCACAAGCGGCAGTTTCTCCCACGTCGCGTATTTTCGTTTCATTAAATTTAATGACCAACCATATTTCGATGTATCCGGCGACAAGTTGTCTCCGGTACAATAATTTGCGTTTCAGGAGTTACCGGACGATGAAAATACAGTTTTAAGCAGTTTAGCATCCAGACGGAACAATTCGTCGTTACTTTCTCATGCCGTTTTTCCGTGAGTCGCGACGGAACCAATTAGATAGTCGCTCGGGACGATTAATCGATAAACGTGTCGGCAAAATATTGAATCTGGACCGAGGTAGGAATATTCGTCTACAAAATTCCAAATAAATATCGAACAGCGGATTGACGCCGACGCGGCTGCAGGTAATAATAATTACTTAAATTAATTAGTGTCGCGGCAAATATCGAGCCATGCTGCGAACGAATATGCCGAACGTATTTATCTCGATCAATTTATTTGCAAGTATAATAATCTTTAATTAGGTCCAGCACGCGGTTAACGGCTCTCATTAACATTCAACTATGCATTAACAACAATGCTGATGAAGTACACGCATTCGCTGATTCTCATGCGATTGAAATCCCGATAACTGGAACGGGATACTAAATAATCATTAATTATTCGCCATGGTACGCACAGCTTTGTCTAATACAATCAAGATTAATCGCGTGAATTCGATGATGTATTCTACTTCCACAAGATTAAGATCAAATTTCTTCACATAAAATGTTAGAGTCAACGAAGCGTGATAAAAGAAATATATATGTATAACATTTTGTGCTTTTGTTAAACAATATGGAAGCACTTGCCAAAGACTTAGTAGTATTAATCTCAAATTTAAATAAAGAAAGTGGTACAATGTTAATTCAATCAGAGTCAAGTTACCGAGATTAGATGAAATACGCAACTTTATCTCCGTAATATGTTGATTAAGGGTGTAATAAATTTTCTCCGCAATTTCGGCGTAGCTTGGGGAGAACCATCACGTTCCGTGATATTATTCAAATGAATTAAATCAGGACACGGCATGGTCGCTTAATCATCATCGTGAGCCTTCGTTAATATCTTGTTCCAAAGGGAGCTATGTCTCTCTATCATTGAATAAATTTAAATGCTAAAAATGCTAAAGATCGTTTTAACCGATTCTGGTTCGTAAAACGCGTATATTTAGAGTTTTTTTTTATATCCTATAATATTCTTTGAAAAAATTCTGAAAACCAAATTCAAATATTAAGCTATCTCTATGCGTTGATTTAATTCTAATTCCTCTTTTCAAAAGATCGAACGTCCGATGAATGATCTCTCTGCATATACGGACGCATATAAATATTCCATGCTCTGTGTTGCATATAAACCATCTCTCTTCTGTTTTTAATTTTCAACCCCTTAGTTTGAAGCGCGGAGTGACGAGCGTGATGAGCGGGTCGGGGAGAAGGGTAACAACACGACAAAATTCTTTATTCAAATAGAAATTTTGCTACGACGACTAAAGGATGCAATGTGTCGTAACAATAGGTAGAAAGTTGGTCAACTTTTGGCAAGAATGAAAGAAGTAGGAACGAAATAT